CCAAATTTAAGTAGGGTGGTTATATTGAATCTCACTGAAGCTACCATCCCCTTCAGCAGAGCGACAACTTTCTATGGAAGCGGATGATAAGAAAATATTTTACATTATATTTGCTCATTTTTACAGATATACAGACAGATATAAATATCTACACGATATCATTCCAATGTTTCTCAGTAATATCAAGAAAATATTCTTTTACGATCAAGTACTTTTTTTTTTTTTTTTTTTTCAAAAGAAGGGTTGGGAAGTAGTCTCCGCGTCACTGCATTCTCGAGGATTATTGTGACATACCCACTTCAGTTCCATAGACGAGTAGCAGTTAAGAATGCCAGTATGTCCTTTGGAGAGATGTTGCTTAATTCCGTTATAAGCGGATAGGCAATGGATAAGTAGCGAAGTCTGAGTCTTGCAAGACTATCACAGTGACACAATATGTGTTCTGCTGTTTCCTCTTCTTCGTAATGATCAAGTACTGCTTACAACTGTTATTAGAGTTTCAGATAACATATTAGAATGCTGACGAATATGAGTAAGTTCCCTTTATTACTACTATCTACTGTTGGCGTATCAGGCAACGTATCAAATATATAATGCAGCTTAATGGCAAAGCTTATCGTGTGTAATTGTCAGCTAATATTTATTACTTTTACACAGATTCTATATACTTGACATATATTAGTTCCCGTAGATCCTATGAGGAGCAAAGAGCCACAATTTATATTTGATGGTATAACTAAAAATTGCTTGCCATATCGCTTTAGTATGTTTACCGATAATAAATGCTTGGGAGGCGGATATAATACAAATATGTTTCTTTACCTTGTTCTGTGACCATATATATTAAATAACACTAATATTAATGTAATGGAGTAGCTAGATATTTTTTAAATTGAACAACAAAATCTTGAATATGTATCAATAAGATATTTTCTAAGTTGTAATTGCATTAGTCGATGGTTGTTTAGTATCTTGTTAAAAGTTAATAATATATAATTTTAAGCAATACTAATGCTTAGATTTATTTAATGTTGAAAGTAACTTCCGGTATTGGAGTTCAACATCTTTTGTCTTGTATTTATCTGAGCATAAAATAAATACTCCTGCAGATGTTGTTTTAATATATCTGTTCTATAATAATTAAAAACCTTCACAAACGTCTAATAAACTTAATCAACAATGAATCTACAATAAAGATGATGATGATGATGATGATGATGATGATGATGATGATGATGATAATGACAATCATACTAATAATCATAATAATACTAATATCTATTGTTTATGTTTTCATGTTAAGACTGTTTGTGGCTATGGCACGTTGCCGTGACTGTTATTAATTTACCTTAAACCCGCGTCTATGGTAAATGCATGGAGGATGATTTCCGCTGGTTGTCATACTTGCAGCACGCAATCCTGTACGTAACACCTAAAATCACGAAACTCAAATTTTTATATCATCACAAAAAGTTTTCTAATTATTTCGCATTTTATGTGCAAAAACCGTAAAAAACATTCAAGTCTGTTTACCAGAATTTAACAGTTTTTCATATAAAACAATAATAATAAAATTTATTTTTTATTTTGTTTTTAACTTTATATTTTATATAATTTTTGTAGGTTTTTTCATGTAATTAAAAAATAAAACTCATTCTACTGTTTTTTTTTTTAGTTTAATTTTTTTGTATTTTTTTTTGATAGTCCTGATGAGCTTTTAGAAAAATGCATTACCGGAATGAGAACTATAGAATAATGTTAACTTTGAAATTTGATTTGAAAAGAATTATTAGGCAAGTAACTAGTGGAAGGTAAAACCGAAGGATATACTTACAGACATATGTATCTGTTAAATACAATTTATTGGTAATAAAATTATTTTAATCATGATAAGCAAACCACAATCTCTCCATCTGATTTAAGTTTCTAGCTACGGGTCTGATATATTGTGTACGTAATTTTTTTACACGCCCTAATCCATTTTACATTTATTTGAATTAAAAAACTGTTTCTATAAATAAAATATAAAAAAAATATTTGAATATTTCCTAAGACCACTAATGATGAGTATTGGGCAATACTCGAAACAGCGTTGTATGGTCAGTCAAATTACAATAAATTAACTAAAATTTTTGTTGTTGTCTTTTCATTTTCTATTCGAACCCTTCTAGACTTTTTTAATTTAGTTTTATTTTATTATATTAAAGTGAACTTTATTTGTTTTATATGCACAAAAATGCAATTTTGAATACGGTTGCAACAATGTTTTTCAATAGAAGATAAGTCTGTGTTGAAGTGGCACGTTGGCACGTATTATGTTCATATTCAGGCCTTCAGAATGTTTTTATATAGATTAGAATTTCAGAAAAAAAACACTTATTTAATAATAAGAGTCTGAAGTGCATTACGAGGTTATATTATATATATCGTATATATATTAACAGATATGGTTCCAATTCGAAACCTTCAATGCGATCCTTAAAATACTATAATTGTACTCATTGGTTGGATCTTAGGGACAGCAACTGAAAGATTCATTTGTCGATCACTGGCTTGGAATAATGATCTGCTCAGTAGAATCGAATGTGAATCTGTAGAAATCAATATTAGGTGAAGAAAATGAAAACAAATTCATAATGAAGATTGTGCCCACCTTTGAACTTCCTAGTTTTGATCTATTCACGTAGAACGTTGTCTGTTTGAATTTGATATGAGCATAGATTCGACATAAATTCAAAAGCGATGACAGTACTTAAACATATCACAATTAATTAGGGACTGTGATAAGATTTGGAAATTTGTTCTGGTGTACATATATTAGATTTTTTTTGCTGAAAAATAGTGTAATTTTTTAGAATGAGAACATCGTCCTGAAAATTTTTAAATCTTATGTAGAGTTTTTTTACTAAAAATAATGTATAAGAATTTTTGTAGTATATTCGTGAAAAATTCACTCATTGCAGATATAGTACGCATATGCTTGTTGTGTCTTGCGAGATAAAAAAAAAATTTGAAAAGTTTCAAATAATAACGTCATCTTCAAAATTTTCATTTTTCAATAAAATCTAAAAGCAAATTTAAATTAAATATAAAAAATGAAATTTCTTCCTGTACATTTGAATAACTCATTTTTTTTTTAAATTTAACGGTTAATATTAGTATTTAAATACAAATAATATTAATTGTTTAAACAATTTCTTAAAAATTCCATCAATTATCTTGAAAACGCAATAAATTTCAAGTCTCTATCATTTATAGATCCTGAAATATGTCCGTTTAAAAATATGTCTACAATGCCAATTCTCAAAATCCCATGGGTCTATATCTCCTAGGAAAAAAATTTTAAAAATTTTTTTCTGTGATACGGATCTTCTTATTTAATGAAAGGAATCCGTAAAATAAATTTCAGTCAAATTGGAAGTGGTAAAATACGGACTTTTTCTCAAAATCCGTCCGATTTGTAAAAGAATGATATGCATCTGAGAAAGAATAGATATATGTAAATATTTAAAATTAATTTTGAATTAAATTGAAATAAACTAAATTAATTTTTCTACTAAATTAAATTTATTATTCCCTTCACTTGGATGAAACATTAATTAACATTGCATGTACAAAATATGTTCTTGTGTTCTATGCGTTCTAAGGTTATTGTGTTTTCTTCCTCTTTACTGTATTAATAAAACTTATTGAACAGTTTTATGCAATTAATTTTCAATATACCCAGCAAGCCGTGTGCACCGCATTCCGCATGATCAGGACTAATCTTTTAATCCACCTTAAAGAAACTTTTTCAATTAATTTTGCCACAATTGTTGTGGCAAATCAATTTGTGCGAACCTGCGTATAAATACAACACCTTTTTAGCTTTATGCGTAAATATGTATGGAATTTGTATGGAATATTTGTATATAATTTGTCAGAACTTTCAACACTGAAAACAAAGCGAAGAAAACATAAAGAAAAGAAAATAATGAAACGAAGTGAGCAATGAAAAATATTGCCCAGATGATTTAACAAATTGCAGCGTTTAGACTTGATTTCCTTTTGGACGAGATTGAGTTCTGAGTATCTGGAAATGATATAAACACTTTAATCAAATGCAATTGTTTAAGATAAATGACATATATCGGCGGCAGCATTTAAAAGCACTGACAAAGGTTGATTGGAACGAAATGCCTTACTGCAATCATACAAATAAGATTATTAAATATTTATAGTTAATAAAAGTTGCGTTTGTTCATAGAAACTGTTATGGTAGTTTTTTTTTTTTGACCGTCGGTCGGTCGAAACCCCCTTTAAATACCCATTCAAGAAGGGTCTTTTTATGTTAGCATTTTAAACCACGCTCTTTTGATTTTAGATCTGTTTCCAGACCTCTACTTCTTCACCATATTTTCTTTGTGTCTGCACTATTTATTATTCCAGTTCCTGGTTCTTATTTCTAGGTCTGATTCTTCGTTTTAAGTACTTGAATCACATATGACTCTATCGTTTTTCAACTCTCTGGTTTCGCTCTTATATTTTCCACTATATTTTCAATCTATGCTATTATCTCTACTCTACATGTGAGCCACCTATTACAGTTAAAGAAGGTGTGCTCTGCGTCGTAACTGTTTCCATCGCCATAAGTCGCCGTTTGAGCCATGTGAATATATTTGGTATTAGTCTAGCTTTCCATCTTGAATCTTTTTTGAAATTAAACTTTTGATATTAGTACTAAAATATAAAAAATCTTAAGGAGTGAAAGGTCTTCAACTTAATTTAGTGGTTGAGAAAGCGACATATGAACCTTATATAATTAGTAGAATCGCCATTTAAATTTAATTTATGTCAATACGTTTAGCAAATTCCAGTTATACTAACAACACAATAATAATAATATGAAGCACCACTTCTTTACTTCTACTTTGCTCTTCAAGATTTTTATAGAGAAATCACAATATCATATAGATTTCAAAAACTTATTTGTTATTTAAAGATTTGATATTATCATTTCATATTTATTTGATACGGAGTTAGTTTCAAAGTTTGGCTTCTCTAAAAATTCATAGTATTTTTTAATAATCGGAGTATTATTGGGTTATTATACGGTTATTAACATAAAAATGAGTGCTTTCTTTAACTTCCTAAAAAAGTTTACCGACGGCAATCCGCAACTAACAGCGGTTCAGGCTGCTAGGATCGGAGGCGCAGCTTGGGCTTCGTTTACGGCCGAAGAAAAATCGATTTACGAGGAGGAACCGGTAAGCGAAGAGAGATTTGGGGATGCAGTTGCGGGTTGCAGTCCGTGCGTGAAGAAGAATAAGAATAAGAATATGAAGAAGAAGAAGAAAGGATGTGTTAAGCCAAAGCGCAAGGCCTGTAAGAAACGCAAGAAGTGATAAATTGAGTGATTGCAGACTGGAATAATTCGTAAATATGATTTTAAATAAATTAGTTATTTTGACAGCTACGCTTACTAAGTTTTATTTACAATTTATACAGGAAGTGGTTGAAATTTAGATCTAATGCTTCCAGTCTGCGCAACCACTAAAAGTCATAGGTATGCTTTATTTTTATTATATTACATATTCTAATAAATTTATTTCATATCAAAAACTATTTACAGCACTCACTTCGAACTCACGCCCAACTCTTAAGGTGATAATTCGGATTATTAAGAGAGGAAAAAATTTGATATCCGATAATTATTTCGCTGATAATTATAACCTGAAGAGAAATGTGTTTACGTCTTTTTACGAGTATGAGAAATGGTATGTATTTCAGATACCATAAGTTAAAAACGAAAAAATTACTTTTAGTCCATTTTTTTCAGACATATCGAACCATTTCTTCTCATTTGGGTGCGATATAGCCAAATTATTAAACTCCAAATTAGATAAAAGAATCTAAACTATAGGTTAAAAATCGTAAGTTTTGCATTAGATTGAGGTAATTGTATGAAGCCAGCTAATTAGACCAAAAAGTGAACCAAGTTTGTATTTATGAAGACACCAAACAAAAAGTGGAATCTTCAAAATATATTTTTTTGAACAAATCGAATTATTAAGTCATAATTGACAGTTTGTTATTAAACATATTAGTTTTAGGTTAGTAATGTAAGAATTTCTTGATATAAAGTAATAAAATGTTCGCCCAACAAACCTTTGGATTTTATTTTGGATTTCAGCAAAGTGAATTTTGAGCTAAGATACTGTATCTCAATTCATATAAGTTTGATAAGGATATATAGTTAAAATTTGGAAATCATAGTGCCAATCCAGAAAATAACTGCGAGTGTCTCTGGTATGCGTTACCTGAGTATGGACGTATGAATTTTTATTTCGGAATTTTTGTATTTAAGTTTTGTGTAGTGCGAAATGAAAAGAATATGTTTCCAAAAATGTTCATTAAAGACTGCGTCTTGGGAACTATTGGGAATATTGTAGAAGGTCTGTGGTGACCAGGCTACATCCCAAAAAAATGTTTGCGAAAGGTATAAACAACTCACAGGAGGCAGATGAAGGCAGATAAACCAAATGGTTTGACTCTTACTATCAGCTGTTGAAGAACACGTCAAAGAAATCAAAAATTTTATACTCAAAAGTAGATCGATTGATAAGCTTTGTTGATACTAATAATATTTAATTTGGATCTGTTCAGACCACTTATAATTTATTTATGGTATTTTAAGCATTTACTTATACGAGTATATTTCTAACATTATTTTCTTCCCTACATCTTCCATGACATTCTTTTGATGTATTTGTAGTTTAATAAGTTTAATAGATTGAAGTTAGATTTATATATGTTTTATTACGCATATTGAAGAGATCTGAAAATATATTTGAGTGTACTTAAAGTACTAAACAGGACAAAATTAAGTTGTTCATACGATAGTTGAACAATAAAAACTATTGAATTAATCTTTCATTTCTTTACCAATCCAATTCATTTAATTAGTCTGTCATATAATCTTGTATGAACTGAGCTGAGAAATCCTTTCAATGTATTTAAAATGCAAGATTTTATCCTGAAATATCATTCAATCTTTGTTTTCTTTCAAGTCTGTTTTTTTTCGCTCTGCTTTTTTCTTTTTATGTTTTTAATGATATTATTCTGACATAATGCATTCTTGCCGGAGCTCCTTAAATCTTTTTTATAAATTCTCGTCAGAGTAAATGTGTGCGCCCTATTCTTTTGTAGTGTCCTAATACTCAATTTCTGTAAGTTGCTACTTTTCATTTGTGTTGATGTATATTTTCCAGATACATTCTCCAGGGTATATTTTAGAGGCTCATGTGACAAATTGCTTAAGCACGTGCATCGCATTACTATGCTGTTTGTATGTTTTTATTTTTAAATTTTCTAGTTTAGTTTTAGGATAATCCATTTCAACTTCTGTTTCTTACGTGCGTTTCAAAAATAATTTGCGGGGTGCGAATGTAAGTTTTACAGCATCCTAATATAAGATTGAATATGATTATTTCATTTTCTTAAGAGTATTATTTAAAAACGAAATAAAAACAACTGAAAGCATGCGATTTTAAGTACGATATATGGTCTGTGGAATACGTTATTTGCTATAAGCTTCACTAAATTACACCACATGAAATTCTTGTTAAAAGTATAAGAAATAATTTCACAAGTTTATATGTTAAGTAAATAATCTTAGCAAGTAGAGAAGCCTCAATGCTAAGAACAGGAAGCTGATATATAACCAAACAATTTGACCATCACTTCTATAGGGGTGTGTAGTGTTCAGCAAGGCCTCTAACACAACTATTTGCTAGCTAGAAACTGCACAAAGCCAATCTCTGAAAAGACTTTTCAAGGTGCCATGGTACATTAAGATGAATGATATCCTCAGGGACAGGCTTACCAACACCGCGTTATCGAATCTCAGAATGGTTACGCACTATTCGGGGAGGCATGCAGATCTGAGATCAGTTATTGCGTAGTCTGATGAAGTGATAAACAATAATCCAGTTAATCCAGTTAAGAAACCTCGAAGTGAGTAGAGAGTAAAAATGCTCGAGTGCACTGATTCAACTAGCCTCAACATAATAATAATTGAGAATAAATCGTGAAAATAAAAAGTTAACCTAAGACTTAATAGGAAATTTGTGTGATTCTACATAGACCATAGATAGATATATTAAATAACTGTGGAGTTTTTATAAAAAAATAGGAATTTAGCTAGCACCATCAAATTTTTTTAAAGAAATATATTATTTAAATATATATGTTCTTAGGTTAGGTTAGGTGAAGTGGAAAAAGGAACGAGTCCTCACCAATTAGCTAAGAAAGCTTAAATGAATATTTGGTTTATAATCGAATTCTAATATAACTTCAGTTATCCTCATATTCCAGGGAAGCAAAGGGCCTCAAATAATAATATATATATTATAAAAATAATATAATAATAATAATTAAATAATATAATAATATTATAATAACATAATAATAATAAAACACAGTAACTAAACTTTTTAATGAACTTTCTTAGCAAATTAATAAAACTCTAAATTAGAAATTGCAAGTCAAATGCTTCTTTGGGTTATTTGGCTAATGATAATTGACTCTGAACTTCTAATTTGGCAAGGTACCCGACCCTTGGCACTTGCCAAGTAACCCTTGGCACTGGCAGTTTCAAAAAATTATTTACGAATAATTAAATATAAGAAATCAGTCCAAGACCACTGACAATGGGTATTTGAAGTACTCAAAACATTTTTTGCAGTCGTCTGACGTTAAAGTGAAATTTAATATATATATATATATTTACATCGTAATAATTCTTCAAGTTCAGAAAATATCGTATCTGGTACGCTGTGTATTGTCACCAGTGATCAGATATAAATATCCAATCTATTTTATATGTAAATGACACAATTCTTCGAAAAGTATTCCGATTCATCAAATTATTCAATTTATTTAAAATTTTACGACTTTTTGTTTATTTTAAAAATTTATTTGCTCTTTCCTGCAACAATGAACTTAACACCAGAACTTAAGTAACTTGCCTCGTACAGAAAAGAGGGCATTACTCACACACTGCCGTCACGATAACGTTACCTTTTGGCTCAAGTAGCTTTATATGACGCGGCAATAAAGCACACTAGGTTGACTGTTGTTTCTATGCACGCGTCTTCATAGTTGTAAATCGGAATTTTGAGTTCTAAAAAATGGCAGTCAAAATAGAGTTTTGATAACTATAATTTTTTTTTGGCTTAAGTGTGACTTTATATGTAATGATAGAACTACGTTCCTCTCATAATTTTCATAAATTATATAACTTAAGGTTTTAAGAAATGTGTCATTCAAAATTTTAAGCCAAGTATAAACTTTCCGGAATTGGGTTTGGCCAATGTCACTGTATAAACCTATGCAGTATATTTACCATAACAGTAAGAGAAAAAAAATATATCTATTCAAATTTTATTTTGGCATCATAGGCTAGAAAGCCTTTTGGTTACTTATTAATAACGTTAGTTAATTTCAATTCCAAAATTATCAAGGATAGAGCCATAAAATTCTTCACAAAAGTCGATAGGTTGGGTTTCTCCAAATTACTTTCAGCCCTTTCTATTTCTAGTTTATAGTCTATCAGTTAGTTTTTATCTGATGAGTTGCTCTCTAAATCGCTGCATCTAGTACCCTGCGGGTTTTAGGTAAATGTAACGTCATAATCCCCTACAATTCTTTAATAAAGATTTTTAATAGTCTTCAAGTTTTTAAGTTTTTTGGAAGGTTTGATTTTAATTGCGATTTTACTATGTAAAACCGGATCCGATATTCGCAATGAAATTTCGAAGTGAACATTTTTGTAATGTGAGATTATTTGCTGGCCAGATAGTGTATATAGTGCAAAAGGTATCCTGAAAGAATGCCCACTATTACGAGGTTTTTGTGGATTCAAAACGGCTTTTTGGCTAATTGAGGAGGATTCGTCCTCCCTACACCTCAACTAACTAACTAACTAACTAACTAACTAACTAACTTATGAAAAAAATTTGCATCTAAAATAACAAATATTAAATGCTTACCAATAATTGACTATAGCATTTGGCTTCAATACAAAATAAATTAAACATACTATATAAATATTAGTTAATATTATTTTTATAAAGCAAGGCGGCACATTGCGAGCTTAGAGATCAATGCTATTACTAGAAACAGTCAATAGTGTCATAAAAGTAATCATAAAAGTAAATCTTCTAAGTATATCTATTAATATTCATTTCGTTCAATATAAGTCTTACTTGTCCCCTCGCTACTGGAGAACATATGAAGATATGACAGATCGCTGTTGTACTTTCTATTTTATAGTGTCTGTAGTTGTCAGCATCGTTTAATACTATCTTTCAGAGTTATGAGTTCTGTTAAGAATCCATTTAGTAATCTAAGTTTTGATCTCCTTCTAAAAAAAATTTGTCAATACTTTTATTGTACTTCTTCGAGGGTGTTTCACTCTAAGAATTGTTCTTGGATTTCTTGAAGCTTTTTCAATTATTCTGAACCGTAATAATCCATTTACTTTTCTTGATTTCATGCACTTTCATTCACAGATAAGCGAATTTTTCATAGATTGCTTTGAGTTCTATCAATAGAGTTTGAGTTTCTTGCTTCGCAAGCTTGTTAATAATGATACTTCGTTACCTTTTCATAGATATTTATCAAGACGAGTGTTAGTCCTTACAGCTTTGGACAGATTACGGATTAAATGATGTGACATTTATACAGAAGTTACGGCAAAATTAGTAAATAACTTAGTATTGATAATCTAACGGAGTAAAAATTAATTTTTGTAGTATTTTTTAAGACCTGAAAAATATTCTGTATTTCATTTCAATATGCAACATTCATTTCAATACACACATTCAATAACAGAGAAAAAAAATAAAGAAGAAGTGTATAAGGTAAAATACTTCAATATTTTCTTACTTCAGCTATTGAAAATGATAGATGTTATCAGAAGAATAGGCTTAGAATAATATTGTGAGCAATGTCTAAAAGTCTTATTTAAAGTGTACAATATTTCTAGTTAATTAAGAATGTAGTAAATTACTAAGCTCATTATCACATAATGTACTTAAATTAACTTCACTTCAAAGAAAAACCACTACAATATTAATTAAATTTGATTTATAGTAATTTATAT